AGGCAGTGAGGTTTTCCACTTCAACTACCTTTCTGTGCAATGTATTCCAGATTCTTATCTCCCTCTGGGTGAAATTTGTTTTCTTCAAATCCCATCTAAACTTCCGGCCTTTCACCTTAAAATTATGTTCCCTTGTTATTGACCTTTCAACTATGGGGAATAGCTGCTTTCTATCCACCCTGTTCATGCCCCTCATAATCTTATACACTTCAATCAGGCCCATTCTCAGCCTTATCTGCTCTAAAGAGAGGAACCGAGCTTATCTAGCCTTTCTTCGCAGCTAGACTGCTCCATCCCAGGCAACATCCTGGTGAATCTCCTCTGCACCCCCTCCAGTGCTGTCACACCCTTCTGAAAGTGTGGAGAGCAGGACTGCACACAGTACTCTGCCTGTGGCCTAACCAAAGTCTGTACACCTCCAACATAACCTCCCTGCTCTTATAATCTATGCCACGATTGATAAAAGCAAGCATCCTGTTGTCTTCTTAACCACCCTATTAACCTGACCTACTGCCTTCAGGGATCTATGGACAGGCACCGTAAGATCCCTCTGTTCCTCCGAGCTTCCTCATGTCTTGCCATTCACTGAGTACTCCCTTGTCTTGTTACCTCTTCCAGTGCATCATCTCACACTTTTCAGGGTTAAATTCCATCTGCCACTGATCTGCGCATCTGACCAATCTGTTTATATCCGCTTGAAACCTAAGACTGTCATCCTCACCGTCAATCACCCAGCCAATCATCGTTTCATCTGCAAAATTATTTTTCCCTCCACCCTTACATTATCTTCAATTATCATTCATATACATCACAAACAATAAGGGACCCAGCACTGACCCCTTTGGTACACCGGCGAACATCAGCCTCCAGTCACACAAACAGCCTTCTACTGCAACCCTCTGTCTCCTAACAATATGCCAATTTTGGACCCAACTTGCCATGTTAACCAGGATCCCATATGCTTTTATCTTCTCTAATGGTCCCCAATGCTGGGACTTGTCAAAGGCTTTGCTAAAACCCAAATAAACTATTTCAACCTCACTAACCTCATGTACACAACTAGTCACCTCCTCAAAAAATTTAATCAAATTTGTTAGGCTTGACCTCCCTCTGACAAAGCCATGCTGCCTGTCCCTGATCAAGCCTTGCCACTGTTTAATTCTCTTCTTCAGAATTTTCTTCATCAGTTTCCCTACCACTGATGTGAGACTGACTGGTTTGTAATTCCCTGGTTTATCTCTACCACCCATCTTGAAAAGTGGAACCACATTAGCTGTCCTCCAGTCCTTCAGCATCTCCCTGTGGCCAGAAAGGAATTAAAAATTTTGGGTTAGAGACCCTGTAATTTCCTCTCTCATTTCCCACAGCAGCTTGGGCTACAACTCGTCCATGCCTCGGGATATGTCCACTTTTAAACCTGCCAAAACATCCAATACCTCCTCACTCCCTATGTCAAATTGCTGAGGAACCTCACGGTCCCTCCTCTTGAATTCTCTGCCTACATGTTCCTGCTGCTGAGTGAAGACCGATGCTTACTTAACACCTACCAATGTCCTCTAAGCATAGGTTCCCCTCTTGGTCCCTAATGGGCCCACTATTTCCCTGGTTATTGCCTTTCCCCTTGATATACTTACACAATCTCCTAAGATTCTCCCTAATCTTACATGTCAGTGTTTTTTTCATGTCCCCCCACCTTGCCCCCACTTTTGCTTTCTGAATTACTCTCTTAAGCTCCCATCTGCACTTTACACTCGGGGCTCCATTGATTTGCTTCCTTTGTAGTTGTAAAATCCTCTCTCTTCCTCCTTAACTAGTCCTGAATATTCTTAGACATTCAGGGTTCTCTGGGCTTGTTGCTCCTACATTTCACCCTAAATGGAATATGTTAAGCCTGTACTCCCTGCCCCCTACCCCCACAATTCAATTTGTACCCTCTCCCCATTTTCTGCTGTTATTTTACCCAGAAGTAGCTGTTCCAAGCCTACTTTGGCCAGATCCTGCCGTTTTTAATAGAATCTGCTCCCCCATTTAATCCAAACCTATTCTTTTTTAAAGACCATCTTTCTTTTTTCCCTTTCCCATAACAAACTTAAAACGTACAGTGTTGTGGTCGTTCTCACTAAAATGCTCTTCCACTGCCATCTCGAACAGTTGTCTAGCTTCATTTCCAGAATTAGCTCTAACACTTGCACTGTCCCTTGTTGGACTTCCTATATGTTAATATGAAAATCCTGAAAGATTTCAAGAAATCTGCTCCCTCTAATCCCTCAAACTATGACTATCCCAATTAATGTTAAGGAAGTTAAAATCCCCTAATGTAATTACCCTGTTATTGTTTTTACACATCCCAGTAAATTGTCCACGTATCTGCTTCTCTATTGCCCACGGATTGTTTGGAGATATATAATACACTCCCAGAAGTGTAACTGCTCCCTAAACTCCCCCCACACAGCCTCATTTGAAGACACTTCCAAGACATCATCCCTCCTTACTGCAGTAACTGACTCCTTTATTAAAAATGCAACAGCACCTCCTCTTTCACACCCTCCCTTGTCCTGCCCCTCCCTCAACCACAGCTGGAATGAAGCATGTGTTAGAAGGCAAGGGTCCAGTAGTTATAGTTCGTATAGGTGTCAATGACATAAGTAGAATTATAAAAGAGGTTTTGCAGACAGTATGAGGAGCTGGTCACTAAATTACCCATATGCAAATAGTCATAATATCTATAAAAATAAAGAGACAAACATATGTTGAAAGACTGGGAGAAATGGATTTCAGTTTGTGTGCCACTGGCATCAGGACTGGGGAAAACATGTACTGTATGGACAGTCTTCTGAGCTATGTCAGGGCCAATGTTCTTGTGAACTGCATAACTAGGGAGGGAGAGACGGTTTTAAACTAAATAGTGGAGGCAAAGGATCAAACATGGAAAGATATGATGTATCAAAGGGTAGAGACAAAGGATCAGAGGAAAATAGTAATATGGAAAATAAGGGTCAGAGAATGGCTGGAAGGGATAGAGAGAAAACCAACCTGAAGAATACACCAACAGTCAAGACTAGAAGTTACAAAGATAACAAAAAGGCAAAATTGAAGGTTGTACATTTGAATGCATGCAGCATTGATAATGAAGTAAATGAACTAATACTATACATTGAAGTAAATAAAAATGATCCAATTACCATTATGAAGACATGGCTTCGGGGGATAACAGGATTGGGCCCTGAATATTGAGAGGTATATGACATTTGACGAAAAAAATGGAAGCAAAGTGAAATCCCTACAGTGCGGAAACAGGCCCCTCGGCCCAACAAGTCCACGCTGATCCTCAGAGCATCCCACCCAGACTCATCCCCCTATAATCCACCTAAGCTACACATCCCTGAACACTAGGGGCAATTTAGCATGGCCAATCCACCTAGCCTGCACATCTTTGGACTGTGGGAGGAAACCCGAGCACCCGGACGAAACCCACGCAGACACGGGGAGAATGTGCAAACTCTACACAGACAGTCACCCGAGGGTGGAATCGAACCCAGGCCTCTGGTGCTATGAGGCAGCAGTGCTAACTGCTGAGTCACCATGCCACCCACAAAGTGGAGGGGTAGCACTGTTAATTATGAATGGCATTTGTGCAATAGTTAGAGGTGACGTTAGTTCGAGATCAGCATGTAGAATTGGTTTGGGTTGAGATGAGGAATTAATAGGAGAAATAAGACACTAGTGGGAGTGGTTTATAACCCCCAGGCCCTGACAGTAAACATAATTTCGGACAAAATATACAAGAAATATTAGGTGCTTATGATGAAGGGATGCCTCTCAACATGGATACCTATAATCTACATATGAACTGAGAAAATCAGATTGGCAGTAGTAGCCTTGGATAGAATAGCTCCAAGATAATTTCTGAAGCAGCTCATTGTAGAACCAACTAGCGAGCAGGTAATATTAGATGTGTTATTCTATAATATGACAGTATTAATTAATGACCTCAGAGTTAAGGCAACCCTAGAGAGTAGTGACCACAATACAATCCAATTTTACATCTAATCTGAAGGGGAAAAGACTGGGGTTAAGACCAGTATATTAAACCCAAGGACAACTATGTTGGCATTAATCTGAGCTGCTGACCTGAACCAGCATACTAGGCTAGGGGATAGATCAATAAAAAAATCAGTGGCAGATACTTATGGGAATACTTCAGAATACTCAAAATAAGTATATTCTGACTGAAACTAAAAATGCTAAAGGGAGGAGCCAACATTCATGCTAACCGTAGTGATTGTAATGATATCAACCAGCTGGACATCATCGAATATGAGTTCCCTGATTGGGATTGTTAATCTGGTCCAAACACAGAGCCCTGGCTGACATCAAAAGAGGAGGGTCAGAGATACTGACACTCTGAGAGCTGACTCAAGAGAAGTCAAGGTCTGTTCATGTGTAAATAAAAGCTGACTTGGTGACGGGATACTGGCCTCTGTGGAGTTATTTCAATAACCAATAAAGTTAGGGAAAGTTTCAGATTTAGGGAAAAAAACAAATACTTGCACAAATGCAAGGGGCAGGTCAGATGATTGGTCAGTGTTTAAAGAATGGCAGAGAATGACTACAAGATTAATCAAAAGGAAGAAATTAGATTGTGAGAGGATACAAGTATTTAGAAAGGAAACAAGGAAGTAAAGTGAGTGTTGGTCCTCTGGAGAGAGAGAATGGGAAGTTAATAGCAGATAATATGGTAATAGTGCCTGAGGTGAACAAATATTTTGCTCTGCCATCATTGTAGAAGATACAAAAACCATTGCAGTAATTGTTGTCAATCAACAGTTGGAAGAGAGAGGAACATAACGAAATTACAATGTTGAGGGGAAGTGCTACTAAGTAAATTGATGGAAATGTGGATTAATAAGTCTTCAGGTCAAGATGGATTTTATCTTTGGGTGTCAAAAGAGATTGCTAATCAGGTTATAGATGTTAATTTTCCAAAATTCCCTTGATTTCAGGAAAGGTTCCATCAGACTGTTGTGAAGAAGACAGAGGAAATTGCAGATGGATATAGTAAAGGTAAAGTCACCATAGTCTTTACAGACCAAAGGGCTTCTCTGTTACTAGAAAGATACAACTGTTGGTGGTTTAACCAGAAGGCTACCATGCCTCAGGTAAAGGGAGAGGTCAAGAAGGAGAGTCCTTCATGGTAATCTCAGTTGGCACAGGAATTGAACCCATACAATTGGCATTACTGTGCATTACAAAACATTCATCCAACCAACTGAACTAAGCAGTGCTGAAGACAGATAGGTTTAGTGCATGGACAAGAATCTGGCAGATGGAGTGTGATATAGGAAAATGTGCAATTGTTCACTTTGGAAGGAAAAAGGGAAAAACAGAGTATTACCCAAATAGAGGATGACAGTGATCTGCTTTCAAATGAAAATCCAAATGTATTACATCTTCTGGTCCCCCTTTACATATCAAAAAATTTCTAATAAATCTGTCAGACATGATTTTCCCCTCGTGAATCCATAATGATAACTCAGATTATGTTATGTATTTCTAAATGCTCTGCTATTACATCCTTTACATTACACTCTAACATTTTCCCAATAATAGGTGTTAAACTAACAGAACATAGATTTTGTTTCCTTCCCTTTTTGAATAAGGTGTTACATTAGCTGTTTTCTATTCCTCTGGATTTTTCTAGAATCTAAGGATTACTGGAAAATTATCACCAGCGTGTCCATTATCCGTAGCTACTTCCTTTAATATCCCTGGATGCACTGCATCAGGTCAGGGAACGTGTTGGTGCTTAACTCCATTAATTTCTCAAGTAGTTTTTTTCTAGTGATATTATTGTTTTTATTTCATCCCTACCCTTTTGGTGATTGCGTATTTAGTATTTTTGGAATGCTATTAGTGTCGTCTACCAGGACCACTAATGCAAAGTATTTATTCAGCTTCTCTGCCATTTCCGGGTTCCGCATTATTATTTCCCCAACCTCAAAGGCCTTTAAAAGGCATGTCTTCACTTTGGCTTCTCTCTTCCTTTTTCTATACTTAAAGAAGCTATATCGTTGTTCCTTCATTATCATTGGGCCAAAATTCCTTCATAACGATACTGTGGGTGTCCTTGCATTTCAGTGACTGAAGCAGCTCGAGAAGGCAGTTCAAACTACCACCTTCTGCAGGACATTTATGGATGTGCAATAAATTCTGGCCTAACCAGCAACACTCACATTGCATAAACAAATTATAAAAAAAAAGCACTGAGCCCAATATTAATCCCAGCTGTTGCTGAATTGGAACAAGCCAAATTAGCATAGGATATGAATGAAATCTGTCTATGAGGTGTACCGGACCAGTGGCTTTACTCACTAAACCATCTTAAGTGTTTTGTACATTCATAGAACATAGAACATAGAACATTACAGTGCAGTACAGGCCCTTCAGCCCTCGATGTTGCGCCGACCTGTGAAACCAATCTGAAGCCCATCTAACCTAAACTATTCCATTATCATCCATATGTTTATCCAATGACCATTTAAATGCCCTTAAAGTTGGCGAGTCAACTATTTTTGCAGGCAAGGCATTCCACGCCCTTACTACTCTCTGAGTAAAGAACCTACCTCTGACATCTGTCCTATATCTATCACCCCTCAATTTAAAGCTATGTCCCCTTGTGCTAGCCATCACCATCCGAGGAAAAAGGCTCCCACTGTCCACCCTATCTAATCCTCTGATCATCTTGTACTGTAATCATGAGACTAAGACAAACAATCTGGAGATGTGTTTGTATTTGATTTATTGATTCCACCTTTGAAATGTGAGCTTATAGAACAGGGCCAGGATTTACTTTATGTCCTGTTTGCAAATCAAATGAAACAACTGTTTTATACTTATGCACATGATTTTGTTAGAAAATAGTGACCACAGCATATCTTTTATTTTCTTTCTTCCCCATCCCTTTCTAAATCAGACAGTGATCGAAGAGATAGGAAACTGCAAGTCAACTATGATCCTATTATTGTGTTTCATTCAGTCATTTTGAAGATATTTCTGATGGGTAGTGCATTTTAAAATTATTAATTATACATCTGAAATATTTTGTATTGAACAAAGTGAAGTTCATACAGAAGGGGATTAATTAATGATGCAATTGACAGAGGGTATTTTTACATGAAGTTTACAATGTAAACTCTGGTTTGGAATGCTCAGGAACAAGTTATTTTGGAAGTGTTTTCATCGTAATTGTGAAATGAAATTGTGTCAATCATAAAAAAGATGGAAATATAAATAATTAGCTGAATCATAAAACTAATAAAATATTATAAGGCAAGAATAACTTTTGTTTTACTTACATCACTGTTACATCTTCAATATTTCTGTTTCCAAAGTCCTGTACTAAATTCTGTCAATGACACCCAGAGTGTGCTAGGTCTATTTAAAAGATTTTTAAACAATTGCTGTTTCCGTATGAGACATTTCCGGATTGAACATAGAAAATTGGAGAGGTTACAATGTGTTAACTTTTTTCATAACATGTTTATTGTAAAATTTGTATTCCTTCAAATATTTGTATTTTTTAAAAAAATTAAATATCTGATGAATGCATTAAATACTTGTAAAATAATCTAATTTTTCTGTGGCTTAAGCTATAAAAAGATGAATTTGATGAACTAGTCCACTTCAGCTTTAATCTGACACCAACTGTGGAACATCTGAGAATGGAAGAGAAGAGAAAGAAGAGAAGCCCAAAGGTCTCTGTAAATCAGCAGCCTTCACTGAGTAACCCCAAGAAATCATCAGTGCCAGCCAGTAAGAGTGCAACATTCTCCTCTGCTTTACCTCAGCCTCCTTCACCAAAAGTTAAATCAAAGTTGAAAAGGTTGGTACTAAGCTGTCTCATATAATTTCTGATTCCATTAAAAGTTCTATTGTAAAGTGACGTTTCTGTCTGTGATCTGTATTGACTAATTTTTTTTTTATATACAGTACTTGTTGATCTGTCACCAGGAATGAGTCTTCAATGTACAGGCCGTTTAACTTGGTCTAATGACCTATTTTATGAAGAAACCCCATTGATTATGGACATATTAGCATTACCCCTAATGAAACATACAATCCCGCACCCCTCGGGCCTGCTCTGCCATTCATAATGATCACGGCTGATCATCGAGCTCAATACCCTAACCCCGCCCTCCCCCCATATCCATTGATCCCTTTAGCCACAAGAGCTGTATCTGCCGTCGTCTTGAAAACATATAATGTTTTATTGTCAGCCACTTTCTGTAGCATTGAATTCCACAGGCTCATCACTCTCTGGGTGAAGAGATTTCTCCTCATCTCTGTCCTAAAAGGTTTACCCCTTATCCTTAGACTATGACCCTGGTTCTGGTCTCTCCCACTACCAGGAACATCCTTCCTGCATCTGACCTGTCTTGTCCTGTTGGAATTTTGTAGGTTTCTTTGAGATCTACTCTCTGCCCAATTCTGGTGAATACAATCCTAACTGACTCAATCTCTCCTTGTAAGTCAGTCCTGTCATCCCAGGAATCAATTTGGTAAACCTTGGTTACACTCCCTCTACAGCAAGAACATCCTTCCTCCAATAAGGAGACCAAAACCACACAACAAATTCTGGGCACGGCCTCACCAATGCCCTGTATAATTGCAGCAAGTTCCTGTACTCGAATCCTGTCACAATGAATGCCAGCATACAGTTTATCTCCTTCACTGCTGGCTGCACCTGTGTGATTACTTTCAGTGACAAGGACACCCAGGCCTCGTTACACACTCCCCTCTCTCAACTTACAGCCATTCAAATAAAAATCTGCCTTCCTATTTTTGCTACCAAAGTTGATAACCTCACATTTATCTATGATACACTGCATCTGTCATGCATTTGCCGGCTCACTCAGCCTGTCCAAATAACATTGCAATGAAACGTTCTAAGGACATTTTTTTTTTTTTAGAAAACCAATATCATTTCTTTAGCATGAAATAGTTGATGATATGAGTAAAATGATGTTATTTTTTCAATTTACATTTTTAAAAAATTTACATTTGAGCAGAACAAACAAAGACAAAGTAAAACTGCCACAGCAAACTGGAAACGTGACAAAGCCAGCTCCAATTCAGCATTCATTCCTGACAGATGTTTCTGATGTGAGAGAGATGGAATGTGGCTTGTTGAATTTACTGAATGATTTCCACTCTGGGAAGTTGCAGGCTTTTGGTGAGTTCTTTGACTGAAGAAAATGTGACATCCAAATGTAATAGGTAATATAACCAAATCACATGATTATTAAAGTACATACATGGATGTTGAAAATAACATTGTGAATATCTTGAAATCTGGCAACTGAGATATTGTGACTGAACTTGCATTAGGAAGCCTGCAATGATTTTTCACCATATAAAGGTATTGCATTGACATTGTGAACAGCACTTTTTTTATGAACATGAAGCCTATGTTTCTCAACTTGACAATATTATCTGTAGGTCTGTCACATTGTTGAAAGAACATGAGATGCTAAGTGATCAGTGGACTTGTCTGGACATTTCTAAAGTAAACAGATGCTCACCCCAATTTTTCATTCTATTTTTAACCCAAATCTTCTCGATGATTGTTTGCACTTGATACTACTGTCACCTCAATAATAATGTCTGCCTCCTATCCTTACAACATCTTTGCCATGGCCAATACCTTTTTTCATGCTTTTGCTAGTTTTCGACTCGGTTTCTCTGATATCCTGTTTACCGTCCTCCCCCTATGTCTGTAAAATGTAATTTTGATCACCAATCATGTGTGTACTTGCAGACTTATTGACTTCCTTTCCTCCTATACATTCAATTTTCAATCCTGATTTCATTATTTCGTTCTCCATTTGTGGAGCAGGCTGGTTTGGCTAACTAGCCTTTTCCTTCTCTTTCTTCTGACTTGCTGTTTCTAGATTGTTGTTGTTTAACTGTGAGGATCATGTCAGCAATTGATGTATAATTTCTTTGGGGCACTGAGGAACTGATTTGTGTGTCTTAAATTTATTTTAAAACAAATCAAATTTTTCAAAAGTAATGTATACTAATATTTAGAAATGCATCTGTAATATGTTTTATCCCTGTACTAATGTCTGAATATAGCTCTATGAAGTCTTTTAACCTTCTCATTTAGTACCAATCATGTGCGGTTAGTGTGAACCAATGAACTCTGAATTGTGTTCCAGTTCAGAAGCAATTTGTTGCTAAAGCAACTGGAAATCAAAGTTGAAACAACTTTGACTATTTAAAGGTAGTTGCTGAAGTTTAATAAAGTTGAAGTTTGTTGGTTAGTCAGGATCATGAGCTGCTGCAGTTTGATGAATTACTTTTTTTCCCAATTGTGAAAATGCTACGTTTCTTTAGGGAAAGAGTGCTCTTTTGAACAGATGGAGCATGTGAGAGAGATGCAGGAAAAAATGGCCCGTTTACATTTCAGCCTTGACAGTCATATGGAAGAGCTGTCTGCAGACAAGAAAAAAAATGCATCCGACAGGAATCTCGAACAGCTTCTGACAAACGTGAGTTCAAGAAATTGTCGATTTGGTGTCAGATGAGAGGGTTTGTTGTTGTGGAGTTCCTTGCAAACTGATAACATTTAGACATAACTTTGAGATGATTAAAAGATCTAAGAGAAACGTTAGTTCAGTTAGATTGATATGAAGTCAGGTTTAGATTCTATAGATGGAAACGTGCAACGTTAACTCTTGGGGCTTGTGGTGCATGATAGTGTCCTTATCTCTGGATTAGGAAACGCTTGTTCAAGTCCCACCTGCTCTAGTGTGTACAAGAACAGGTTGATTAGAAAATATCTACAACTTTATCCCTGGCTTTATAACTTACCATGCTTTCAAACATTGATGCACATCAAAAATGTGTGGTATGAGCATTTTTGTTTTCCATGGAAATGGAATATCTCAGTTTTGGTAATTAAGGCAGAATCTAATCACTGGTCTATCTTGTGCATAAAAAGCCGTGAATCAGATGGTAACACTTGTTATGATCAGAAAGAGGGTTGAATGTTCAGGGACTTGGATGCAGTTATTTTGTATTGCACACTGATGGAGTATTACACTTTCACAAGTGCAATCTGTTGTCTGTTTAGAAGATGAGCAGGGCTGTTATCTCTTTAATTGACATCAGCAAAGCAGATTACCTTGTCATTATTGTTTTCCTGCTGTTTTCATTTGCTATTTTAAACACTTCAGTTGTAAACAATGATAAAATCAATTCTTCCTCTTCAATTAGGTCAAGTCATATAATCCACAAAATCACACAATCCAGCACATTTACTCAATCAAATTGTACAATATAATTCAATTGATTAAATGGTTCTTTATTATTAAGTTCAGAATCTACTATAAGAACTCAGGTACCAAGCTTTATCAACCTAGCTAGGCTACAGCTGAGTGCTTGTTCTAAAACATTTATGCCAATTCAACTTTGACTTCTACATTCCATACATTTAAAGATCACTGGAGGAGCTGATGTAAAAAAGAACCAGTTTAGACTTGGAGAAATGTATCTCTCCTGTTAATGGTTAGGATTCAAAATATATATATAGCAAAGCCCCAGTTCATTTCTTGGTCAGTGAACGACTCTTTCAAACTTTCCTGGTTGTCTTATGGGTCGGGTTTTGCATGCTTACCGCTGTGATCTGGGTTTGATTCTTGGTCAGGGAGTAACTTTCTTGAAAGGGCTATTCAGGCACAATGGTAGCATCCTGACTTGTGGGTTAGTCCTACCTGCCCTGTAGGTGTGTTTATAACAACAAATTATTTAAATTAATTGAGTTGTTTAAAATTGTTTTAGAAGTGGATTGATAACAGCTGTGAAGTGTGTTCAGAGCTTTAATTGAATAGCCCACTGTTATGTTAGTGTCAGTACCCAATTACATTTATATATTAATCTATTGTCTAATTGTGGTAATGTTCATTATTTTTCACTATCTTACAGCTGGAAGAGCTTAGTACTTCAATGTATCCTTTTCAAATGATTCTTGTTACTAATCACTTACAGCACATTGTAATCTAACAGCAAATTTGTCAATCGGCTCTGTTCATTTGCGTTGCAGCACTTCCAGTTTTTCTCTGGATAAAAGTTGACTTCAATGGAAATGCAAATAGAACTGTGGAGAGTGGAAGGGGAGAGATGTAAAAGGGTCTGCTAACTTACTGTCATGTGGTGGCACAAAGCCACAATCTATCCATGAGAAACAGGAGACCTTTTGATAGTGGAGAACAATCCAAGAAACCTCAGTCCTGCGCTCAACTAATGTCCACGCACATATTATTCCAGAAGGGGACTCAGTTTAGTTTTCACTACAAGAATCCTAAGAAAATGTTTCTCTGTCTTCTGAATCCTGGAGCATTAATACCAATTGTAACACCTACTATAAGAACAAGAAACATTTAGCCCCAGAACCTGTCCTGCCATTCAGTAAAACAGTAACTGACCTGCAGGCTAACTCCTCACACCCAATGTTTAATTTTAACAGTAACAGCTGTTCTAGCATCAGTTAGGATTTGTGAAATAGAGTTACAAGTTCTACCAAATTGTGTGTGTAGAAGTGTTTTCTAATTTCATTCCAGAAAGGTCTCGTTCTCGTTTTTAGATTATGCCACTAGTCCTAGATTACTCAACCAATGGGGATAATTTTGTTTTTATCTACTCTATCTGCATCTTTTAATACCTTACACTTTAATCAAATCCCCCTTAGTCTCATGAATTTCAAGTGATACAACTCTAATTTGTATAATCTCATCTCATAATTTTAACTATTGGAGTCACTCTGCTAAACATTTACTCCCCTCCCTCCACTTAACCTTAAACCTAATGCAAGATCATTATTTCTTTCTAATATGTGCAGATCTGCTTACAGTGTTCGAGGTGTGGCCTAAGTACGGTCCTGTACCCTAGTTCTCTAAATATAAAGGCCAATGCTAAATTAGTCTTTTGATTATTTTTGAACCTGTTCATGACTGACTCATACAGTCAAAGAGGCATACAGCATGGAAACAGGCCTTCAGTCCAACTCATCCATGCTGACCAGATTTCCTAAATTGAACTAGTTCCATACGTCAACATTTGACCCATCTCCCCCAAGCCTTTCCTATCCATGTACTTTGTCGGGCGGCACAGTGGCTCAGTGGTTAGCACTGCTGCCTCACAGCACCAGGGACCTGGGTTTGATTCCACCCTCGGGTGACTGTCTATGTGGGTCAACACATCGTGGAGCCGGAGGAACACAGCAGGTCAGGCAGGATGAGAGGAGCAGGAGAGTCATCATTTTAGGTGGGGACCCTACATCAGAACTATCCCAGACTGCCTATGTGCAGTTTCCTTGTTCTTGCCTTGTCTACATGGATTTCCTCCAGGTGCTCCGGTTTCCTCCCACAATCTAAAGATGAACAGGTTAGGGTTGATTGGCCATGCTAAAGTGCCAATAGTGTCCAGGGATGTGTAGGTTAGGTGGATTAACTGCAGGATATGCAGGGTTACAGGGATAGGATAGCGGGGTGGGATGCTCTTTAGAAGGTCGATGTGAACTCGATGGGTCGAATGGCCTGCTTTCACACTGTAAGGATTCTGTGTACTTGTCCAAAAGTCTTTTAAATGTTGTAATTGTACTCGCCTCTACCATTTCCTCTGGCAGCTCATTATATATATATGCACCATCCTCCATGTGAAACAGTTGTCTCTCAGGTGCCTTTTTAAATCTTTCCCCTGTCACCTTAAAGCATGCCCTCTAGAATCATAGAATTCCTACTGTGTGGAAACAGGCCCTTCGGCCCAACAAGTCCACACCGACCCCCATAACCCACCTGAGCTACACATCCCTGGACACTACAAGACAACTTAGCATGGCCAATCCACCTAACCTGCACATCTTTGGACTGTGGGAGGAAACTGGAGCACCTGGAGGAAACCCACGCAGACACGGGGAGAATGTGCAAGCTCCACACAGACAGTCACCTGAGGGCGGGATTGAACCCGGGTCCCTGTGAGGCAGCAGTGCAAACCACTGAGCCCTATCCTAGGGAAAAGACCTTGACTATTCACCTTATCTATCCCGTAATGATTTTATAAACCTCTATTATGTTTACCTTATAGCCTCAGCCTCTTTCACTCCAAGAAGAAAAGTCCCAGCCTATCCAGCCTCTCCTTATAATTCAAACCCTGCAGTTTCAGTAAATCCTTGTAAATTTTTTTGTACCCTTTCCAGATTAATAACATCCTACCAAGAGCAGGGTGACCAGAATTGTATGCAGTACTCCAAATGTAGCCTTACCAGTGTCTTATACAGCTGTAATATGATATCCCAACTCGTGTACTTAGTGCTCAGACCGATGAAAGCAAGTGTGCCAAACGCCTTCTTCACCGCTGTGATTACCTGCCTCCCTAGGTTTCTCTGTTCGACAACACTGCCCAAGACTCTACCATTAACTATGTATGTCCTGCTGTGGTTTGTCTTACCAAAATGCAATGCCATACATTCATTTTTAAAATAAACTCCACCTGCCATTACTTAGCCCACTGGCCCAGTTGGTCAAGATCCTGTTGTACTCTGAAGATAACCTTCTTCACTTTCCACTGTGGTGTCATCCATTAACTAACTATGCCTCCTATATTCGCAGTCAGATCACTTATATAAACGATGAACCGCAGTGGACCCAGCATCAATCCTTGAAGCACTCTACTGATCAGGCACCAGATGGAACAATAACATTTTTATTAATCTAAGTACCTGCCCTGGATCCTTGGGCTTCTTTAGATTTCCACTGTTTTTGGTTTTTCACCAATTAGAAAGTGTCCTATTCAATCCTTTTTATGTACCAAAATTGATTGCCATATGTTTTCCTCCATTTGAAATCATTTGCCGCAGTTTTGCCTATTCACTTAATTAAGTGATTAAGTGTGTGATTTTGGGCATCTATTTGCAGTATTAACAATTTTAACATCAGCAACTTCTGGATTATCAACGAGTCTTTAACAAAGAAGGCAAATAGTTGAACTGTCAAAATCAACTAGTAAGACTCAGTTCTACCAGTTGCCCATTATCCCTACTCTCTGCCTCATGCAGCTCAGCAAATTTGCCTAAGAGGTCAATCATTTGTCCTCAATTCAATGACCTACATCAGCTCGATCAACACAGATCTACAAACATCCACTCGCTCCACCACCAACGCTCAGTAGCAGCAGTGTGTACTATCTACAAGATGCACTGCAGAAATTCACCAAAGATCCTCAGACAGCACCTTCCAAACCCACGACCACTTCCGTCTAGAAGGACAAGGGCAGCAGATACATGGGAACACCACCCCCTCCAAGCCACTCACCCACAGCATGCAAACTGCAGTGGTTCAAGAAGGCAGCTCACCCCCACCTTGTCCAGGGCAACCATGAACAGGCATCAAATGCCAGGCCGGCAATAACCATGTCCCGTGAGTATACTTAAAACAAAATGAATCAAACTAGAGATCTGCTGGTCTGTAATGGCTCACTGTTGTAATAGGCACTATATTCATCTATTGAGCTATTTGGGGAACTTGCATAACAGATTTTCAAACCAAGATTAGGAGGCATTAGATTTTTCATATGTTAAGAGGAAATGATCCTTAGCAGAAATTCAGACAAAAGCTACACTTAGCAGAAAATCAAGAACTGCCAAAAAACCAAGAGCCGAAACTACATACTTTATAGAAACTGTGGTTAATGAGACTTGTGGGAATCTTGGATAAAGAGAAAATGGACTGCACTCTTCAATGAAAGCATTCCTGTAGGGAGAAAGACAGGATGCATAATACTTGGCGTGTTTACACTGCAGGTGGGAAACAGACATTATATTAGCTTTTAATAGGGAGCATTGTTAATTTTATCTCCTCCTGTCATTTCCAGAAAAGACTGGCTCTTCACTACAGCACAGTTGCATACTGGGTTACCTACCTTAGTGGTCATCACTCATGTCAGCCTTGACAGTAATTTTGAACATCTTTTTGATTTGATATTTGTTGTAACGTGTACCGAGATATAGTGAAGTGTTGTCTTGGCTGCTAAACAGGTAGATCATACCATACAAAGTGTATCAGAGTAGCAGAACAGAGTGCAGAATACAGTATTACAGCCACAGAGAAGGTGCAGAGAGAGATCAGAATTAACATTTGAGAGGTCGGTTCAAAAGCCTGATAACGGGGGAAAGACGCTGTTCTTGAATCAGTTTGTATGTGTGTACAAACTCTTATATCTTCTGCCCGTTGTAGAGAGTATAACCAGGATGGGAGGGATTTTTTATGTTGGTTGCTTTCCCGAGGCAGCAGGAAGTATATTACTCAACTGTAAATTAAGTCATCACAACTGAATCCAAGTCACATCTTGTTCCCACTTGACGACATGCAGGAACATTGGACAATGAATAGCAGCCTCAGTGTTGCATGATTTTGCCAAAGTTTAGTCTACAGGTGCTGAAGCCAATCAATACCATCCCAGGTGAAATTCGCTTTATCTCCATAAACAGTGGCTGGAATTTTCAACCCCTTTTCTCTATGGTTCAGTTATGCACTGGATAAATTTGTAGAACCATCTGTGAACTTATTTTGTTACTGTAGCTTGGGCACAAACGTATTGTTTGATTGGCATGGGAAAGACAATTTTCTGAACATCAGTTTTAACAATGCAGTTATTATTTTTCCTGGTATAGAGGATTTACTTTTAATATCATTGTGCTATTCGCACAAAAACACATTTTCTAGTTCAGGAAGTGCATTTTGCACTCTTAGCTGCCATTGCAACTGACTGGCCATGATTAGTTGAAAACATATTTAGATCAAACATTTACATTTCTTTTTCTTAAACAGTGCGATGTAGATGAAAGCCTAAAATGATATTTTCAATTAAAGAATTCAAGGTTTCTTTTAAGATGTGGTGGGTCAGGCTTGGAGGGCCAAAGGGCCTGTTCCTGTGCTGTATTTTTATGTTCTAAATTCGTAAAAATTGTGATTATTTCAGTTTAACTTTTACTTCAACAGTGAATCAACACTGTTATCAGTCTGTTTAGGAATGTATTTTTTTTGCATTACAGGTAAATAAAGATTAGCTTATTCACTCAGGACAAACCTACTGCCTATTTCTGTTGTTCTGCACCTTTCTTCTTGTTATACCCAAATGTCTCTTTAAGACCGGTTCAAGGGCAGTGATTTTTCAAATTAGGGTTCAACCTTACCGGTGGAACATAATATTTATTTGACTGGTGTGTAACAAAAGAATTTAAGTCTGATCTGGAATTATGCACTCTGTGGACTGGATCTTTGTTTCCAGGTAAGGTACAAGAGTCAGGAAATTATCTGAATCAGAGATAGTAGGACTTGCTTCTGCCTGGGCGGGGGAGGGGGTAGGTGGAGTCTTCTCCTTGAGCATGGGGTGACTTTGAGATGCATGTCAGGCTAGATGCCCATAAAACACTCCATGCCAATGCAAAAACCTCTCACCCATGCCAACTTAGTGACAACTTGTGCCAACCCATTCTCATATCAATTCCCATAACTCTATGCCAAATTAGTGCAAACTCAAGATCTAACCACCACCTGTTTCCATTACACCCTCCATGCCAACTCATCAACTATCCATCACAGGCAGATCTCAGGAACCATGCTGAGATGCAATAAATAAAAGTTTGAAACACCTATTAGAATGTTCATTTGCTTTTCTTATAAAAAAAGCCTCCTATTCGTGTAGGTCTATTCAAAACATATTTAAATAGCCTGAAGTACTTAATCCTGATTAAAGTATTCTGCATACTTTGCTTGGCCTTGTAAGAGTTACCATGAATTGATCTCACTGATGGAAGTATATTTCTCCTTAAGTAAAGATACCAAGGACCGGATTTTTTTTTAGGAGATGTATGTCAGTGTGTGAAAGGCCAGACAGTTGTGATATAGAGAAAATTTTTTTACAGTCCCCAATACCACACCATATTATTTTGACCTTCTTGCTTCTTGGGAATACCTGGTCTAAAAAATATACCCATCGCCTGCCCTAGTGAGTTTGCATTCCCTACTTTAAATGGGGTTTCAGAATCAGATTGCCTCCCACACACACTTTAGTGGGGTGGTGGAGGATTCTTGAAACCCTTTTGATAGCATACCACATTTGAGTTGCTGAAGGAAATGGAACACCTGGTAAGGAGACTGAAGTATTGTGAAATGTAAAGTATTTTCACACCTTCAAGTATCACCATTAGGTGTTTCATTGTATGTAGATGTGTTTTTAATGCAGTGATTCATATAGGGACCTGTCCTCCTAAAAGTAAGCCAACCGTTACCATTGACCAGGCTAGTTTATTTATCCACATGCATTTCAGTAAAACCATACAGCAGAAGTAGGTCATTCAGCCCAACAAGTCTGCTCTGCTGTTCAATAAGATCACATGCAACGTGCCTCAGTGCCTACCGCCCAGTGGCTCTAACGTCCATGATTATGAAGTGCTTCGAGAGGTTAGTCATGGCTCATATCAACTCTAGCTTCCCAGCCTCCTCAGTCATTTGTAATTTGCCTACCGATGCGACAGTTCCATGGCAGATGCCATTTCCCTGGCTCTACACTCCCTGGAACATCTGGATAACAAGGATACACCAGGTTTCTACTTATTGACTACAGCTCTGCCTTCAACACTGCAATCCCAACCAAACTAATCTACAAACTCTGAAACCTAGGTCTCGGCTCTGCCCTCTACAACTGGATCCTCGACTTCCTGACCCACAGACCGCAATCAGTGAGGATAAGCAACAGCGCCTCTTCCACAGCAATCCTCAACACCAGTGGAAGGTGGATAAAGGAGCAGATAGGTGCTCCTTCCATGCACCTCCCCCTCTCTCTCTCTTTATTTCAGAATCCCCTTCCCCTTCCCCCATTTCTGAAGAAGGGTCCAGACCTGAAACGTCAGCTTTCCTGTTCCTCTGATGCTGCCTGACCTGCTGTGTTCCTCCAGCTCCACATTGTTATCTCTGACTCCAGCATCAGCAGATCTTACTATCTCTGTTTCAATCTTGTTGTAGTGCTCCAGTGAAGCTCCGCATAAGCTGGAAGAACAGCACCTAATTTTCTGCTTGGGAACTCTCCAGCCTTCTGGACTCAATATCTAGTTCAACAACTTCAGGGCTTGAGCTTCTCCCAAATCCTTACCTCAACCTCCACACACAAGACCTTATTTTATAACATAGTCTGCTACGCACCACCCACTGTAAGCCACTAACAGTCTCCATTCATAGCTATTCATCCTTCTAGCCTGATTGTTATTTACTCCTTTGTCCTTCTCTCTTTTTTTTGGTCTCTATCTCCACCTATTGCTTATTCTTTACCTCCTTCCTCCACCCTATCTCCTGCACAAAGACAAACATTTTCCTGGCTACCATCAATTCTGAGGAAGGGTCACTGAAACGTTAACTCTGATTTCTCTCCACAGATACTGCCAGACCTGCTGAGCTTTTCCTGCAATTTCTGTTTTTGTTTCTGATTTCCAGCATCCACAGTTCTTTTGGTTTTTATTGGGATATCTGGATATCCTTGAACACCAGTCAACAAAAATAGACAGGTGCAGCAAGCAGGGAGGTGCAGGGAGGCAAAAGATATATTACCCTTCATTTTGAGAGGTTTTGAGTTCAGAAGTAGGTCTGTTGTACTGCACTTATACAGGACTTTGGTGAGACCACACCTGGGTTATTACATGCAGTTTTGGTCTACCTAAGACAGGATATACTTACCACAGAGGGAGTGCCACAGAAGTTCACTAGGCTGACACTGGGGATGGCAGGACTATCCTATAAGAGCCAGGAGCAGGAGGGCCATTCAGCCCCTCGAGCCTACTTCACTATTTGATACAATCATGGCTAATTTCACCTTGGCCTCAACTCCACTTTCCTGCCCACTCCCTATACTCTTCAACCCATTACTAATTAAAAATCTGTCTATCATCACCCTCAACTTACTCAATGTCTCAGCATCCACCGCACTCTGGGGGAGTGAATTTCACAGATTCAGGACCTTTTGAGAGAAGTAATTTCTCATCATCTCTGTCTTAAATCTGTTCCCCCTTATCCTAAAACTATGACCTTCCATTTGAGATTGCCCTAGATGAGGAAACATCCTGTCTGTCTATTTTATCAATCCCCTTCAGCATCTCTTATATCCCAATTAGATCTGTTCTCATTCTTTTAAAGTCTAGAAAGTACAGATATAAACCGCTCAGTCTGTCTTTACAAGACAAACTCTGGAACCTCCTTTGAATTGCCTCCATTGCAGCTATGTCCCTCCTCACACAAGGGGACCAAAACTGAATGCAATAATCCAGGTGTGATCTCACTACTGCCTTCTACAGTTGAAGCAACACTTCCCTACTTTTCTGCTCTATTCCTTTGCCAATAAATGCCAAAATCCTAGACAACAAGGTGCAGGGCTGGATGAACACAGCAGGCCAAGCAGCATCATAGGAGCAGAGAGGCTGACGTTTCGGGCCTAGACCTATTTGCTTTCCTTATGACCTGCTGTACCTGCATACTAGGTTTGTGCTATTCATGCATGAGAACACCCAAATCCCTCTGCACCGAAGCACTCTGAACTTTAGATAATAAGTTGCCTTTCTATTCTAATCAAAATGCTGAGAGACAGGATCTACATGCATGTGGAAAAACAAGGATGGATTAGGGATAGTCAACATGGCTTTATGGTGGGAAATCATGTCTGTCAAATTTGATTGAGGTTTTTAAAGAGGACCAAAAAGATAGATAAAGTCAGCAGTAGATGTTGTCTACATGAACTTTAGCAAGGCCTTCGACAAGGTTCCGTGCGGTAGACTGGTTAGTAAGGTTAGATCACGTGGGATCCAGCGAAAGCTAGCGAATTAAATACAAGATTGGCTTGATGGTAGAAGGCAACAGGGTTGTTGTTCAGACTGGAGGTCTGTGAGCAGTGGTAGGCCACAAGGATTGGTGCTTGGTCTGCTATTGTTCATCATTCATATAAACGATCTGGATGAGAATATTGGAGGCATAGAGCTGTACAACACAGGAACATTTGGCACGATGTTGTGTTGAACATGATGCTAAATTAAACTAATCCCTTCTGCCTGCCCTTGGTCCATATTCCTCCATTCCTTGTATATTCATGTGCTTATCTAAAAGTCACTAAAACGCCCTTATCGTATCTGTCTCCACTATCACCCCTGGCAGTGCGTTCCAAACTCCTACCACTCTCTATCTAAAAATACTTGCCCCTCACATCTCCTTTGAACTTTCCCCTCTCACTTTAAATGCATGCCCACTGTGTGGAGTTTGCACATTCTCCTTGGGGCTGCATGGTTTCCTCCCATAGTCCAGGAATATGTAGGCTAGGTGGATTATCCATGGGAAATGGAGGGTTACAGGGTTAGGGTAGGGGATTGTGTCTGGGTGGGATACTCTTCGGAGGGTCAGTGTAGATTCACTGGGTCGAATGGCCTGCTTCCATATTGTAGGGATTGTATGAAGAAAGCTGTGGAGGTAAAGCCATTGACTGTGTTCAAGATAGAGAGTTTTTTTTATTTAAAAGCATCAGGAGTACGGAGAGATATCTTGAAATAAAGCATCAACCCTGATCCTGTTGTATGATGGATAAAATTTAAGGGGCGGAATGGTCTGCTTGCGCTGCCAGCATCTGAGGGCGGGGGCGGGGCCTATGTGAGTCCAGTCCCGGTCAATCCCCGCCCCCTGTTGGCTTTTGCCTTGGAAACATCCAATGGTTGTCAGCACGGCCCACTAGTGCGCCGCTGTCCTGGTAACCACTCTGATTGGCAGTTCCCTGGCGCTTCTGATTGGGCAGCTGTGCAGGGGTTACCGGGACGGTGGTTTGGCGCGCAAACGTTAGTGGCGGCGCAGGCGCGGGCACAAAGGCGGCGGTGGAACCCGAGCCCCCGAAGCTGGACCGTCAGGATCCTCCCCCCTCCATAAACACAATCGGCCCGCCCGTCCCCGTCCCCCCGTTCCCCCTTCCCCCGTGAGCTGCAGCCATGACCGACAAAGAAGGTAATCGACAGCTCGCCGGGCGGCCTCGCGCAACACCAGCCTCCATCTTGATTGAGTCCCGT